ACGTTGCTTCTTCGGCCTGAATCAAGGAATCCCTTAGATATGATGAAAAATGGATCTTGTTCTATCCTTGATCAGAGATTTCTCTATGAAAAAGACGAATCGGAGTTTGAAGAAGGGGAAGGAGAAGGAGCCCTCGACCCGCAACAGATAGAGGAGGATTTATTCAATCACATAGTTTGGGCTCCTAGAATATGGCGCCCTTGGGGTTTTCTATTTGATTGTATCGAAAGGCCCAATGAATTGGGATTTCCCTATTGGTCCAGGTCATTTCGGGGCAAGCGGATCATTTATGATGAAGAGGATGAGCTTCAAGAGAATGATTCGGAGTTCTTACAGAGTGGAACCATGTAGTACCAGACACGAGATAGATCTTCCAAAGAACAACAAGGCCTTTTTCGAATAAGCCAATTCATTTGGGACCTTGCGGATCTACTCTTTTTCCTATTTAAAGATTGGCCCTTTGTCTCTATGTTTTCACATCGAGAATTATTTGCAAATGAAGAGATGTCAAAGGGGCTTCTTACTTCCCAAACAGATCCTCCTACATCTATATATAAACGCTGGTTTATCAAGAATACGCAAGAAAAGCACTTCGAATTGTTGATTAATCGCCAGAGATGGCTTAGAACCAATAGTTCATTATCTAATGGATCTTTCCGTTCTAATACTCTATCCGAGAGTTATCAGTATTTATCAAATCTGTTCCTATCTAACGGAACGCTATTGGATCAAATGACAAAGACATTGTTGAGAAAAAGATGGCTTTTCCCGGACAAAATGAAAATTGGATTCATGTAACAGGAGAAAGATTTCTCATTCCTTAGCCGGAAAGATATGTGGCCATGAAAGAGGGATTAAGCGGAACAGAATTGACTGGGTGGTAGAGTCGTGGAAAAACTTGTTTCTTCCATATTTTGGACTTTAGCTCCATAGAACAATATGCTACTGCTGAAACATGGAAGAATTGAAATCTTAGATCAAAACACTATGTATGGATGGTATGAACTGCCTAAACAAGAATTCTTGAACAGTGAACAACCAGTTCAGATATTCACGACCAAAAAGTACTGGATTCTCTTTCGGATAGGCCCTGAAAGGAGAAAGAAGGCTGGAATGCCAACAGGCGTCTATTATTGCATTCACCCGACCCGATAATACCCATTTTGGGAACGTCCAGTGCCAAAGTCATGGAATGGGTAAGTCGCCAATCCCTAAAACAGACTATGTAATGTACTTTATCTGCTGGGTTACGGGGGGGCATTTTACCAGAGGTTTTTAATCTACCCTTGTGTGATTCCTATTGAAGCATATACTCGGGGGGTGGGTGCAGGGCGGACGATTTTAAAGCAGACTCCCCGTTCATTAGATAGACAAGATCACCAAGATTTCGTGATCCGCTGCCGAACTTATTCCAATTCCAAGAGCTCGGATCGAATCGGTATTGATATACCGATTCGATCCGAGCTCTCTTATTGAATTGCTCATTCAATGAGCATTCTCAATATTATGCCTTGAAGAGGACTCGAACCTCCACGCTCTTTAGCACGAGATTTTGAGTCTCGCGTGTCTACCATTTCACCACCAAGGCATCTTGAAAGTGAATCGTATTCCATGAATATGATATCTATCTAGTGTGAAGTCCCCTATTTCATATACCAATGTAATGGGTAAGGCACCAACGTATCAATTTGGATTCTTAGAGAAATACATAAAATGTTTGGCGGAAAGCATGAAATGAATTGAAAAAAAAGGGGAGTCATAGCAAAAAGAAGTGGTAGTGGGAACATTTGTCCTATATGTACAAATAGAAATCGGGCGGATCTTTACCCGGAGTAGATCATAGACCTAGAAAGATTGAAGAGGCCCATTCAGGAACAAGAAAATGACATCGTGATTTGGATTGGATTTCGATGAAATAATACATCAATGAGAAGTTAATTCGATAAGTTTAGTGAATTCTTTTTTATATTATAAGGAAAGGAACAAAAACCCATCCTTATCGAAAAATAAAAGAAAAAGAAGCCCTTTCGGGAGAAGTGAAAAAGAACCCGCTATGAAAAAAGAAAAAGGACCGGAATCTACACATTGATTCGTTTTTTTCGCAATTTTTTTGAACCGTATGCGTCAAAAGGTGCATGTACGGTTCCTAAGGGATACAATTTTGCCCTACTCAACTGACTTTATCGAGAAAGATTACTTTTTTTAGGCCAAGAGGTTGACAGCGAGATCTCGAATCAACTTATTGGTCTTATGGTATATCTCAGTATCGAGGATGATACCAAAGATCTGTATTTGTTTATAAACTCTCCTGGCGGATGGGTAATACCCGGAATAGCTATTTTTGATATTATGCAATTTGTGCAACCAGATGTACATACAATATGCATGGGAATGGCTGCTTCAATGGGATCTTTTATCCTGGTCGGGGGAGAAATTACCAAACGTCTAGCATTCCCTCACGCTTGGCGCCAATGAGGTTTGTTTTTATTTGAGAGAAAAAAGAAGACTATGCCTTCGCCATATGAAATATGAATATTAAGTAATAATAGCATGGCACTTCGAATTTGATATGAGAAAATTTTTCTATTATTTTTTCAAAACATTAGATTATGTATCGAGAGAGTAGTATGAGATAAAGAGTATTTCTGATTTTATCTTATCTATCGAGAGTCCAGTTCAGCGTCACAAACTTTTTTGTTTTCACACCGGAAGGCTCTTAACAATACTTATGTTATGAAAGAGTGCGAAAATCAAAAAAAGAAGAGTCTTTTTTCCTTATTTTATTTGATCAGATCAAAAAGAAACTTTGGGATTGTTGAATCACAGACAAATCAAAGACAAAATAATAATAATAAATATATAAAGCAACGGAACCATCATAGTATTTTTTAACTTCTCCGAAAAAAAAGGTGGTAATTTGATCATTTACCGATCTAGATCTGATAGATCCGATTTTTTTATCTTTTTTCGATGGAGGGTAAGGGTCAATTATATATTGTAAAGCCGTATGCAATGCGCAAAAGATGCCCGTACGGTTGTTCAATTCTAACTTCTTTTTTTCTTGTTATTCTTTATCTTTCTTTCTTTTCTCTGTGAGATAGAAGAACATTTTATTATGTTATATCATCAGGGTAATGATCCATCAACCTGCGAGTGCTTATTATGAGGCACAAACGGGAGAATTTATCCTGGAAGCGGAAGAACTGCTGAAACTACGCGAAACCCTCACAAGGGTTTATGTACAAAGAACGGGCAAACCCTTATGGGTTGTATCTGAAGACATGGAGAGGGATGTTTTTATGTCAGCAACAGAAGCCCAAGCTTATCGAATCGTTGATCTTGTAGCGGTTGAATGAAAATAGCACAGATTTCACACAAATCCGCGATTTAAGATTTGATTTTCTTGCCGGGTTTAATATTCTATTCAAAAGAAGTAATTCATAATCATCCGGTTAGGATCGATCTAAACCAGCCCATTATGTATATGATTCAACATGCCAACCATTAAACAACTTATTAGAAATACAAGACAGCCAATCAGAAATGTCACAAAATCCCCCGCTCTTCGGGGATGCCCTCAGCGTCGAGGAACATGTACTAGGGTGTATGTGCGACTCGTTCAGATCATGGGCTGGGACAAAGGAAAGAAAACCAATTTTCCAGTAACAACGATCAGTACCGATGAATAGGATAGACTGGAAGAACTCCATTTGCTATCTAAAAATAAAAAATCTATCGTATCCCTCTATTGTGTATGAAATTTATGGTTTCCGTTGGTGCAAATCCAATCACCTCTATTTTAAATGAAAAGCAATTCCCCATTGGTAACAAATGGTTATTCATTAAGCGGGGAAAATCCTATTTAAAATTTAAAAAACAGAAAGATTAGGTTCCCACTCTTGCAAGAACGGACTTACAGGGTCAGCTACCCCGCTAACTTTTATAATTAAATACCGTTACTGTATAGGTAGATCTCATTGTGAAAGACCTAGTACTGGATAATTCATGGGTAGAGCCAAAGAGTGTGAACTGTACAAGTTACCAATAACATTGATTAAATCAAGTAAGGGGCTCCGGTGTATAGAGAAGGCCTCACCGTTTAAGAAGTAACCATAGAAACGATGGAACCCACTATTTCTTTATCCATTTATATTTACTACTTTATTTATTTACTATATTTTTGATACCTAGGAGAACACAATTGATTATTTCTAGGTGAAATGCCTAGAAAAAATCGTGGTCGGGAAGGTTATAGTAGCCAAAGCCATTGGAATTTTTATTTTATACATTGAAAAAATCCGTTTTGTTATTAATAGGCTAGGAAGGGGGAAAAGAATAACTGAAAGAAAGGAAATCAATTAGTTATTCGTCAAAGTTTCAATTATTCAATGACCAGAATTAAGCGAGGATATATAGCTCGGAGACGTAGAACAAAAATTCGTTTATTTGCATCAAGCTTTCGGGGGGCTCATTCAAGACTTACTCGAACTATTACTCAACAGAAAATAAAAGCTTTGGTTTTGGCTAATAGGGATAGAGATAGGCAAAAGAGAAATTTTCGTCGTTTGTGGATCACTCGGATAAACGCAGGAATTCATGAAGGGGGGGTCTCTTATAGTTATAGTAGATTAATACACGATTTGTACAAGAGACAGTTGCTTCTTAATCATAAAATACTTGCACAAGTCGCTATATTAAATAGGAATTGTCTTTATATGATTTCCAATGAGATCATAAAATAAGTAGATTGGGCGGAATTCACCGGAATAGTTTAAACAGAGTTCCCCGGAGAATGAACTCCGGGAGGTAGAGTAGAAATGAATATGATAAAATATGATAAAGTAGTCAAAATGAATGAACACGTTCAATAAAAAAAGCTTTATTCTTTTTTCCCGATTCTTTTTTTTCTTACGACACGACAATCAAATCTGGATTCGCATATTTTTCGAACAAAACATCAATCCGCTTTTGAGGTTCAGATTGGAATACATATGATGAGCTACAACAATGGTTAAAGAGCCTCAGAAATTGGGCTCTTTAACCATTGTTGTAGCTCATCATTGTTGAATTAGATTGGATAGTCGAATAGGGAATCTACTAAAATTAGTAGTTGTGGAAGGGGCGGAAGATGCTTTATAGAATATACGTACTCACGGGAGTCTCTGAGTGTTCAGGCATTCGATCAATAGTAGATTGAAAAGAACAGTTCCTATTATTCCTACATGTTCCATTAGTAACATTCCCTTGGGATGTCACTGCGTATTTTGCTTGTGTTTAATCTTTCCCAATTAGAAATTATATAGAAATTTATTAGAAGTAGATTTATTGGATTGGTTCATCAATAGTGTTGGGTCAGAATCTTTTTTTGACTCTGCGCCATTGATTCCACTATTATTAGTGAGCAATAATGGAATAATTCCTTCATATTCATAAAGATAGGGGACATAATTCACATGGATATAGTAAGTCTCGCTTGGGCTGCTTTAATGGTAGTCTTTACATTTTCCCTTTCACTCGTAGTATGGGAAAGAAGTGGACTCTAGAAGTACTACTAATTGAGTTGCGGAATCAAACTGTATCAATTTTTATAGATCGTTCTGCAAAGCGTTTTTCACTATTTTAAATAAAAATATCTTCATTTCGAAATTCCATCGGATTCTAGTGGAATAATGTAATATATGAATAATACTCTTTCAATCAAAGAAATATTTCAACGATTTCCATCTTTGTATTTTGAAAGGAAGGGGGATACGGAGGATAGGAAATTTCTTCCAACCTAATTCTTCCTAAATTTTCTATTTCAATAATTCAATAAATGGGTTCTTATCAGAATTATATATAGGGAAGAACTTGCATCAGTATCTCAATTTCAATTCAAACATGGGTTTGATTCACACTCCATGTTCTGAGAAATATTTATCATCCGGAAAGAGGAAAAAACGGAGTCTTTGGCTAAAGAAATGCGTTGAGAAAGGACAGATGTATAGAACCTTTCAACGAGATAGTGCCTCTGATGACTTTTTGGCACTCATATTTTTCTTTAAAGCAAAAACAAGCTGGAGCTAGATCAGATGTAACAGAAGAAATAATTTTTAAGGTAGATCAGATGTAACAAAAGAACTGGTCTAAGCAAAGAGTGAATAGATTCATGGTGGCCCCTATTTTTGTGTTCACCATTATTCCTGCCTCGTCCCCTAGTACACACCATATATATATATATATATATATATATATATATATACTCCTATTAATTAAAGTTACAAATACCATCCACCACCCCAATTTTGAGGTCAACTTGAATCAATTCGAATATAATCCACTTTTGAAGTTTGTCTTTTATTCTGAATCTAAATATTTTCGAGCTGGAATACAATTACTACAACCATAACAACTTAAAAAGGTTAAGAAGTTATTTAGTTCAGTTTGTGACCAAATTGTTGGGAAACCGTTTTTTATTATTAAAATATTAGTTAAAAAAAATTAAATTAGTAATATACTTGCCATATATGTCTATGTCATATAACAAAACATGAGCTTTGTATCAACAAGCTTGATCTAATCGTACCAAACTCTTATTAATAAAAATGAGATTAAAGGTTCGAGCCTTAATAAAAATACTAACAAAAGTGAGATTAGAGGTTCGATCCTCAATAAAAACATGTGTGTGAGTATACCAACTAAAAAAAAAAAATACAAAATAAGAATGTTGTATTTTTTTCTTGTGTTACAAACCACTGTTATTATTATTATTATTATTAATTTATGGCTATTTGATTTGCGTCATGAAATAAAAAAGTAATTTACAACACATGACTGAAAAAAAAAAAAAAAAAAAAAAAAAAAAAAAAAATCAATGAGTAAACTTTTGATATTTTTAACATAAAGAATACATTTAATCTACAAATCGAGTCAATTGTGTTGACTTTCTCATAAATGAAGTAAAACACAAATTTGGTGCTCATGTTCATAATATACGGGCACGGATTCAGTCCATTTCACAATTCCTCTAGTTCATGCAGTCCAAAATTTTTATAATCTAGCTTTTGCCACGTCACATTCTACTTAACCCTAGTTTAGGAGTTGGTTTTGTCTCACCCACCCACGGTTAAGCCAAATTGCTGAAAATTTTGAAGCCAAATCATTTTGAAACCATTTTCAAAATTGAGCGAATGTTTTCAAACCCGGTCAAACCTTCATAAAATCTTTACTTTCTGCCACTGTAGCCCCAAAGACCCACAATATTCATTCACCTTTGGCGCCGAAGCCTTCCCCAATTCCCTAAGTCTGCAACTGTTCATCTTCCCCACTTTTCAGCCACTGGTCACAGAGTCAGCCACTGTAACCACTTTCGCTTAGCCAGATTTTTTCAAAATTCCTTTCGCCTCGTTTCTAATTGAAAGTTCTAAGATTTGATCCCTTTTCTTCACGGTAGGGAAGCTTTGTCCCTCCTTTTCCTACTCAGCCTCTCCACAACAAGCCCATTTAACTGTGAGAGAGACGACTTAAATTGTGTGGTTAATAGATACTGATACCCAAAAAAATACCAAGAAATTGAATCGAACTCCTACAATGCTTACAGTCAAATTGCAGGTGGTTGTTGAAGAGTGGGTAGAAGACCCAAGATTTGACGGAACGTAGACACACAAACACAATTATTCATGTGCCTAAATATCCAACTTTTAGGTATAGAATCTTTGTTTTTGGCAGTCAATTACATCTTTGACAGAAATAAAATCTATACTTCTGTCATCAATTTGATATGTAATGGTATTTTTATCCGGGCCGTATGGTCACCTCACTGATACGGTGTACCTTGTTTATATATATTTACATGTATAGAGTTACAATATTTTTCAGTGGCAATAATAAATAAGTTCCATCAAATATATATATATATATATATAATTCACACTTTACTTGTCACACCCCAAATTTTAACAGAAAAACTCTTTGTTTTGTATATAATTTACACTAATTCTCAATTTTAAAGAGCTTTCAATTGGATACTAAAACGTGGATGGTGCTATAAAGTTTGACAAGATGTATCAATAAAAAGGTTAAGTTGTAGACAAAATAAACAAACTACCCTTGTACTGGGTTGGAGCTAAAAATTTAAACGTTCAGGACGAATTTAAACTATGTAATAAAAATTAGAAAAATTTATAAATTAATTGTAATATAATTATTTTTTTTTAAGTACTTGTCATAGTATATATATCTTGAAAAATATATGAAATATATTCTTTGAAAAATGAAAGTGGACAAAAGACATATATATAAATATGTAAAATATATTGTTTAAAAAATAAAAATTGACATTTATTTTGGGACAAACAAAAAAAAAGAAAATAATATG